AGTTTTTGTTTTCCTGTAAGCCCACTCTGAAACACCTCTCTGCAGTGTGCAACTGATCAGTAGTTTTTGGAAATCAAGCCACCTGGAAATTCACATCATCCTTTAAAACATGTTCTGCTGTTTGGAAACCTACAGTTCTGCACTATACAGCCACTACAGAATTCTAAGTTGAACAACACTGGACTGCTACTCTCTCCCACTATAAACCAAAGGATTTAAATTTGCCAAAATATATGTGAAAAAGTTCCTATTTTTACCATGGTAAAAAAATTAAATCAACTTTATATAAGATGGCTGCCTTCACCAATATTTTAAAATACAACTGTACACAGTTTTCTTGCTGTTGTCAACTCTGTATTCATTTTATTTTTATAACATTGTGGTAAGCAAAATGGCTGCAGTTTTCTAATATCATATTTACTCAAACCCAAGGGCCTTGTTACATATCAATGTTAGGCAGTCCTGGAGCTCTTAACCCCTGGATTGTCATTAACACCTGAAATTAATTTTAAGCTCACTTTAGGTGGCTTAAAGTTATGCCACTCCAGAGTAGGTTTTTCTCTGATCTGTGTTACCCAACTCATGTTCCATTAATGTGTGGCCACACTCCATGATGAGCCACACAAGTTACAGTTCTCCAGCATCCCAGGATTCAATTTCTCTTCCCCACCCTCCTGTTCTGTGTGGACAAAATTTCCACCCCCTGAACTCCACTGCCCAGGGAGCACTTCTGACACCTAGCCAACTCTCCCTCCTGCTCCCAGGGGTCTGACCTTCCCACTCCCACCCCCAACCCCTGCAAACAGCTTGCAGAGTACATGCCAGCTAGCCAGCAAACAGGGCATGGATGGGTCCAGGAGTAGGATCTAGGGAGTGGGAGAGAACAAGGTAGGGGGCTGGCTCCGGTCCCTATAAACTGAGGCTTCCTTCCTGGGCCAGGGTCAGTAGCTCCCCCAAAAGCATCTCCCCTCACTGCTCCCACCTCCCAGCCACCCCAGGAAGAAAGACCAGCATCCTCCCAAACCTCAATCTCAATCCCAGTTTATTAAAACACAAGAACTTCTTTAAATTTACTTCTTTATTTCTTTTCAAATTCTTCTTTTTTTTTTTCACTTTTATTTTATCTTTCAGTGGCTGACTTCCTTCATTTCACCACCCTTCCTCCACCCACATTTTTTTTCTACCTCCCATTTCATTACCCACCCCCATTCCGTTAACTCATAGTGGCAACTTACAGCTGTAGCTCCTAGTCAGGTCCCTGCTTGCCAGAGCTCTGTAGTGGCAAGTCATAGCTGTGCAGGTAGGGGACAGTCAGAGGTTTTTAGCTTTAAGGTATGACTGCTTCAGACTTGAGCTAGCACTAACACTGACAACATTTGAGCAGCTCAAAGTGCAACATGTAACAAAGCCCCAAGACATGGTTTCTTTCCTCAATCAGCACGGGAATAAAAAAGCCTCTTCTTGGATTTGAGTGCCAACCTGGGGCAGGTGGTGGCTCTGCTCCAGCTTTGGCCCTGGACTCAAGACTGAAGCTGAGCTACTACCTGCCCCAGGCCAGAATGGCCCTAACCCCTTGCCCCTGGTGCCTGTGCTTGCCCTTCCACCTCCTGCCTCCCTCATCCCCTATTCCTGTCCTCCAAGCTAACTCCTCCCCTCCTTACCGTCTGCTCTAGCTCTGGTTTTTCCAGTCACTCACCCCAGATGCAAATTTCTCCACCACAGCAGTAGAAGGGACAAATTTAAGAAAACCTTCCACTAATTTTCCATTATAGAGAATCTACCTGTTGCTACAACAGCATCTTAAATTTGAAGTCATCTTGGATTCAGGTAAACATGATAGCATGCTATCATTTACAGAGCATTGTCTCAATTTTTTAAAGTTGGACAAAGGAAATATGGAGAAAATAATGTCAGGATGCAGTTTCCTACAAGTTCCAGAAGACAAACTGAAACCAATTAATAGATTTTTAAGTTCAGATGTATCCATTATGATCAGTTACTCCAACAGCTCCTGAATTAAACACTACGGAATAATTTCTGTATTAAGCCAGTAACTTCTGTATCAGCCACATTATATCTTTTAGGAAGCCAGCCACTCTTGATTTGAAGACTTCAAGTGACAGAAATTATATAAATTATTCCACTGGTTATTTATTTTCACCATTAACAACCTACCCCTTTGCTTTTTTCCCCCCTCAATTTGTTAAGCTCTAGCTATGAGATCTTATTCTGCCTTTTTTTTCCTGCATGTTTTAAGGAGCCTTTTATAGTCAGAAATCTCTACCCCATCTTGCTGCTTATAGCCTTCCCTTATGTAAAAGGATTCTCAGGAAAAGCATAGGTACAGGGGGGACCTGGTGGCTGCCTATAAGTATATAAGGGATGTATATCAGGATCTGGGGGAACACCTGTTCACCAGAGCGCCCCAAGGGATAACAAGATCAAACAGTCACAAACTCCTCCAAGATGATCTCATAGGGATATCGAGACCTGGTGGGACTCCACCTATGACTGGGCCACAGGTATAGATGGCTATACCATTTACAGGAGAGATCGTGTAGATAAAAGGGGTGGGGGTGTAGCTCTCTATGTAAGGAAAACTACACATCCCCGCAAATTGACACTGGCACCCAGGGAGGATGACTGGAGTGCCTCTGGGTTAAAATATGTGGGGAACGTGCCACAGGGGACACCATGGGAGGAGTCTACTACAGACCTCCTAACCAGAAACAATAGCTGGACCAGGAATTCACCAAGGACCTGGCTGAGGCTGCACACTCTTGGTGCATGGTTGACATGGGAGACTAACTACCCGGACATATCATGGGAAGAGCACTCGGCCAAACCCGATCAGTCGCAAAGCTTCCTCATGTGCATGGACGAGCTCTACCTAACTCAAGAAGTCTATGGCTGACAAGAGGTAAAGCGTTACTGGACTTGGTACTGACCAAGGAGGATGATGTAGTCAGTGACCTAGGAATCGATGGAAAGCTGGGTGATAGTGACCATGAGCTGATCACCTTCACTATCCATCGCAAAGCTAGGAAGTCAGTCAGCAATGCTGAAGTCCTCAACTTCAGGAAAGCTGACCCTGACAACCTCAGGAAGCTCGCTGTTGAGGCCCTAAAGGACCACGACTCACCAGGAAGAGGTGTCTATGAGGAGTGGTTGCTCCTCAAGGGAGCGATTCTGACAGCACAAGGACTGTCCATCCCAACTCAGAGAAAAGGTAGCAAAAGGGCACAGCAACGTCCTTGGCTTAGCAGGGAACCCGAGGACCTCCTATGCCTAAAAAGTGAGACTTATAAAGGATAGAAGGCTGGAATCACCACCAAGAGGAGTACTCAGCACTGGTCCGTGC